ACAATTTGTTTATTCCACTTTTTATCCAAAACTTCACATAGAAAACAACCTACCACCACGATTCCGTGGCCCTAAAGAGTTGTCTACATCCTTTACTCCTCCTAATCTTTGTTCTGCTGAAGCCATATTATCATCTTCTAGCAGCCCTAGCTTCCTCTTTTGAGCCTGGACAATATTAAACAGTTATACCACCAGTAAATTGCCACAACAGCGGTTTTAATATGAATGGAGTAACAGAATGCACACACACATTCACAGGCACGTAAATATATACATAAAAATCTAAAACCATCCATGATAAAAAGTATTAAATTGTATTACCCTCTCCTTCCGAGCTGCTTTCTTTTGTTCCATCTCATCAAGCGCACGGGCACGACGGGCTTCAAGAGCCTTGAGCTCTTCTTCCTTGAAGGGCCAGTCATTGGGAATACCTGGGTCCTTCTCAATCTTGCTCTTGCCCTTGACGGTTAGCTTCTTGGCTTCCTTTGCCTTCTTCTTGTGATGCTCCTTCACCTTTCTAATGATCTTGTACTTCTTCTTTAGTGTAACCCTCTTGCTTTTGCTCTCTACAAGAAAGAGAACATTTTAAAAAAGAAACCATACAAGCACGTCCCAGATGCTGCAGAAAAAAAAAAGCATTTATTGGCTTCCAAAATTATAAATAGCACCCACTTACTTTTACTCCTCTTAACCATCTTTAAGTTTCAGAAGACGAGGTTTTTGTGCAAATGGATTTCACTGTCAACACAAGAGATTAACTCAGCAAAATATTCTTCCGAAAAATACATGCCTTACGGTCCATATTACTAAATCTCTACTATCAGTATATATGAAATTCACGTGAGATTTTTTTTTTCTTTTTATGTATTCTTCAGTCTAAATTTCTGAAATTAAGTAGTTGAATTTTACATTAAGAAACAAAAACAATCCACATTCATAGAACAAGCTATTGGTTCATTACCATTCAATTGAACGATTGCTCCTAATGAATAAGGTTGAAGTTGTTAAGTCAATCATTCAAGCTATAAATTAAAAGAAAATTGGATGACTAAACCATGTTCGAATCAGAACATCCGGACACAAACAGCTTTTCAATTTGCCGCAGAGCTGTTTTTCTTCGGCTAGTACTGTTATTGTTGAAAATCATTTGAAAGAAAAAAAAAACGAACAGCTCCGTTTTATCATTAGACAAGTTCTAATTTCCGTTTTTCAAACGAGAAGAAAGACATAGATGGATATTGGAATAATACCAGTACCAGCAAGGGAGTAGAGGAAATTCAACGAAAACGGTGGTGGAAGTGGCACGAGAGGAAAAGGACAACAACGGGAGAAGCAATGAAGAACCGGAGGAGAAAATGGCGGCGACACAGAGCTGCTGAAACGAAGGTGGAGACGGCGGGAAGAAGAAGGGTGGAGCACTTATGAAAGAGTTAGGTTTTGGTCGCTCTTTTATTCATTTTTATTTTTATTTTACAAAGTGGGCTCGGTTCCGTTACAAAGAAGCGGGCTGATTTATTGGGCTAGAGTAATAAATATAATTTATTTTCTCTAACATTTTCTAATTTATATTAATTTAATTATATTTCCAATAACAGTCTAAGCTCACTACTAACCAACGTAAGATCTCACAATTCACCCCTTTTGAGAGTCCAACGTTTCGATTAGCATGTTATCTCGTGTTTGTAACAGTTTAAGCTAACCGCTAATAAATATTGTATGCTTTTAGCCAGTTACACATTGTCATCAGTCTCACAGTTTTAAAATGTGTCTACTATGGAGAGATTTTCACACTCCGTTCTCACAACAATACACATACAATTTAAGATGGATTACTTGATGTAGGTCGGATTGAGTTCAAATAAATAAAAATTTTATAGATTAATTATGGAATTTAATTTTAATTAATTTTTATGAATATTATTTCCAATTATATATTCTCAAGCAACTCTTATTTTTTTAAAATATATATTAAAATTAGTTATAATTCATAAATAGATATTTTATATATTCTAATTTTATTTTTGTTAAAAATAAAAAATTTTAAAAATTACGAACCGATCAAATGGGGGCAATAATTTGTTTTTGTTTGACAAAAAGATTAATATAAATAATTTATTTAATTTTGTTATGCTCTAATAATTCACATTATTTTGTAACTTCTCATAATTTTCACTTTGAAAATAATAAAATATTATATATATATATATATATATATATATATATATAATTTGTCCAAACCCAAATATGGCCTAGTCTAAAAAGCGAGTCAGGACAAGGCTTCACGTGATATCAGCATGAGAATAAACTGTCACACTACACGACAAACCCCACCATTAAAAGAAGAAAAAAATAAATAAATATATTAAAGAAACAAATTATTATTTAAAGAAAAAAAGTATTAAGAGTGATTTTAAAAATAAAAATAATTGAAAGATAACTCGTCCCCGTCCTACAAGACAAGTAAATAATATGGTCATGTCATCAAAGATACGTGAAAATAGATGAGTTGTAACAGCGCAAACTCACTGTTAGCAGATATTGTTTTTTTTCATAAGTTTTCATACCCTTATAATTTCCGATTGACGTGAGATCTCACAATTCGCCTACTTCAGAGCCCAATGTCTTTGTTGGCACTCGTTCCCCTCTCATATCAACGTGAGACCTCACATGAGTCATCAAGTATTGAATCTAAATTCTTTTTCATTCGCATCTAGAGCATGAGGCGTTACAGTCCAATATTTTAAAAAATATTAAAGATTGATCTCTCACGATATAGGTTTAAAGTATTTTTACACCAATACACAAATCTATACGTCAAATATTAACCAAATGTTGATTGAAACAATCACTTTTTAATAATTCGAACCTTAAGTGCTCGAGATTGAAATGAAATTTAAACGTTTTAAGGAACGGGAAGGTATGAATAGATTAAGTAGGTTGGAAAGTAAACAGAAGTAGGATAAGAAGATAAGGTTTGTTTTTTTTTAACTTGAATGAGTCATTACATTTCCACTAATTATATCAAACTAATGACAACTTTTGGAGTGAAAAAAGGAGCGATTTTTGGAGGTTTTGTAGGATTGTGTTATTAAGTTGAGTTCAACCCATCATCCATGTCTTCTTCTTCATCATCATCTTCATCTGTTTTTCCTCTGTAAATGCCTCTAATTGGCCTTCATCAGCGGTGGTTTGTTGTTCTGTTATTGTTCTTGTTCTTGTTCCACCCAACTGCCATGGAAGCAACCGAAGTTTAGCACTCATTTTCGAGGGCTTCTTCTCATTTAGATCCGTTTTTCCTTTGGGTTTCTGATACCCTTTTGTTTATTGAATCCAAATCCAAATCCAAGTCCAGAAACTGGTTTCTCAAGATGTTGAGGAACAGATCTAGAGCTTTAATGGCGGATCAAGCTTCACCAGTTTCAAATTCTCTGTTTGGTTCTCCAAGATTCAAACCTTTTACACCAACAACACAATCAATTGATCACTCTGTGATTAGTCCCACTTCTGTTCTTGATTCCAAACCATTTTTTTCTCTTCAAAATCCCTTCTCTTATGATCCCAACACAAAACCCAATTCCCCCAAGAAACCAATTTTCCCAGTAAACAAACACAAAATCTCTGGCAGAAACCCAATTGGGCTTGCTTTAATTGAGGAGAAATACGATTCCACGCTCAGTAAAAGTGTAATTTTTAGAGCGAAACTTCGTGTCAAAATCCCTCCTCCTCTGCTGCCGGATTCCGCCGTAGACGACGGCGGTGGAGATTTGTTTCCTTCTGGGATTGGTGATGGGGGGATGATGACGGTGAAGGAGATGGAGGTTTGTGAAGAGTATACTTGTGTGAGAACTCATGGACCTGATGCTAAAATTACTCATATTTTTGATAACTTTGTGGTGAAAAGCTCTGTAGATTCTGGACCTGAGAGAATTTCCATGGCGGATTTGAAGAACAAGAACAAGAAGAACAAGAAGAACAAGAAGAATGATTTTCTTAGCTTCTGCTACACCTGCAACAGAAATCTTGAGCTCACAAAGGACATCTATATTTACAGGTGCGCCCATTTTTTTTCTGGTTCATTGTTGGTCTGGAAGAGTACTAATTTTGGTCCATTGTTGTGTTCATTGCAGAGGTGAGAAAGCTTTTTGCAGCCATGAATGTCGCTACCAAGAAATGCTTTTGGATGAAGAACAACAACAACAATCATCTTGATTCTTCCATCATCATCTTCAACCTCTGGTTTTCTGGTTCTTCTTCCAATAAATTTTCACATAAAATTCATAGGATCTTTTTTTTTTTTTTTTTTTTTTTTTTTAATAATAATTTTTGGTTTTTTTGGGGCTCTCTCACGAAGATATAGATAAGAGAGAGAAGTGTTTGTAGAGAGATAAATTATAAAATATGTTCAATATGTTTACTGAAATGATTGCTGCTTTGGCTTTTACTAAATCTTAGGCCTTTATTGTTATTATTATTTTATTTCAACATAACGTGACAAAAAAAAAAAAGTTCTTTAAAGATTCTTTAAATTGAAAAATGCTACAAAGATTAAGTGGGGGCTGTAATTCAAAACATTTTACCCACATGAACTTATGAATCTAGATGGGTCGTTGAGTAAAATAAGATAGAATGAATGTATTCGATTAAAACTCCCTCAAGTAGATGAGAAAGCTCATTCTATTATAGTGCAATTCATATGATAGGAAGGAGGGGGGGTTAGTAGAAGTTCCTCGAAATAATGGGTCGACTAGGGGTTTAGATCAATCAACTCACACTAACGTAATATAATTTCGAGGGTTATTCGTTTGACTAATGAATGGATGACACGTGTCTAAAATTGACATTTTAAGAACATAGATAGTTCGGTTAGAATAAAATAAGATGAACATGCTTGACTTGACTTAACTGATCTAAGAGACTCAACAAGATTAAATCTATACGTGTTTCTTTAAGCTAAATTTCATTTCATTCACGTAATATCATAGCTCTCAAAGGGTAGAATTAACAAAGCTGAGAATATTTACCATCAGCTACAAATCCCACTTCCCAAAAACACATATCAACCATGATTCTTCACTATATTTACAATCATTCATACACACTAACCCCGCATCAAAAAGAATGTGTCCTACAAACAAGTGAGCTTGATGCTCCCTCAAACATCACTCATATCATTCAGAGTCAATATCAAGGTGAAGAATTTGTTTAAGTGTTCTTGTTGCAGCATCAACACCATGAAATAGCTCTCTAGAAGAAGAAGGACGATGGTTATGGCCCCGCGTTGGGGATGGTGGTGCAGATTTCACAATTGGTTGAGTTCTTCTGATTGCTTGAGCGGTTGAACCGGTGGGCAATTGGAGTGACAAAATTATATTTCTTCGAATTGAGAAATTGGGCATTGGCAATGAACTTGCAGGGGGTGAATTTGAGTAAGTTGGTCCAGCCCAAAGCTCAGGGTAGGATGAACTCTTACTATAACAGCAATGTTCATCAAAATCATCACAAATTTCAGAATTAATCGGAATTGGATCACTTCTTGGAGTTGGTGAAATCGGTTTAGGGTTACAATCAGTCGAAGGGGGTTGAATCTTTGGGGAAGAAGGACGATAAACAGGAATCGAAGAAATCTCCAATGGAACAGGGCGAAATCCTGTCCCCGATTGATTACTTAATCGATTTTGATTTTCCTCTCTGTCTTCTTTAATCGTAAAATTCCCAAATCGACTCATACCTAGATTCTTGAACAGAGTGAAGAACTCATATCTGTACTGTTCTACAATCATCAAGGTTTTCATGACAGAATAAAACTCCTAATTCATTTAAAGATTCACAACTCATAACCTCACTAAACAAGAGCATCAAAATCAACGACGAAATCGCGAAATCCTCAGTCTAATGAACCAATAACAACAAGAAAGAAACAAATCGCTGCTTAAGAACACAGAAAACGGACGAGATTGAACACGAACTGACCTGGAAGTTGAACAAGTACAAATCCTCAGCGAACGATCATGTATGAGATAGTGAATATGAAATTTTCATCGATGAAGTGATCTTTCTTTGAGCGATTGAACTGGAAGTTGAGTGAATCGGGGGGTTTGTTCTTCATCTTTTTCGTCTTCCCGGGGGGCTTTAAGAAACGGTACCCGGCCTTGGCTCTTTATGAAGTTTACGGTATTTGTCCCTGAATTGACTCATTGACGTGGCAGGATTTGAGGGATATTTTTGTCTTTTCAGCTGAATTCAGTTGGAAACTTTAAATTTGAATTGGAAGTTTGTTTATAATATTAATTTTTAGGAGTTAATTTATAAAAGTAATTGATTTAGTGTAACAAATTATAAATTTAATTCATAAACTTTTTTTTTAAACAAAAGTATTTATAAATTTAAAAATATACCCAAAATTAAAAGTTAAATAAATATATTAATAAGGTATTGTTGTCACGCCTTTCTTGACCATCTTCGTCCCTCTCGATTCTCTTTGACTCTCAAACTCTCTCTATCTCTGTCCCTTGGGTCACTGTTCGTCCCTCACATTCTCTTGTGCTTTCTCCATCTCTAATTTCTTGCACTCTCTTCGTTTATCTCCACTTTTCCGTACTATAAAGTCTCGTCATCTCCTAGATTCTGGACTCTCCATCCCAAATTAGAGACAGAACCGAACCCAACCCAAAAGATACGTAGCTGAGTTGTACTATTTAGTTCATTTGAGTAGCCAATCTGGTTTATCCGAAGATTCACATTGGTCTAAAAATCGTGTTCAAGATATAGTAACCAAAATCTTGCTTCTTCTGATCGGCTCGTAATAACACGTGCTCATATATAATATCGAGCACTACAACTCCAATGAGAAAGGCCAACAGCTGAGACCTAAGATCTTGAAGCATACAAAAATCTCATTATCTTTTCATGTGTTTCAATGGATTGATACATAACTTCCTCCGAAACTTCTTTGCTTTGTTGTTATTACTCACGTGTGGCTAACTAATCAAATCTTAATCATTTTGTTTGACCGCTAATAAATGATTAAAATAATTTATAGTTATTATCTATATCAACAAGACACATCGCTCAATCATCAAGAATTTCAAAGTTAAACATATTTAGTTTGAGCGATTTTTTGTAATTTTTTTAAGAAAAATGTTGGGAAGACAAAACATCCTTAAAAAAAAACTCGTGTTAGCTGGTCGGGATTAGAAATAATTCATATTTTTTATTATATGGATTTGGAAATATGATGAGATTTTGTTCTTTGATAATTTCAATTTTTTTAAATAATATATATAATAAAACAATTTTGTAACGTGTTGCTTATAACTTGAAAATAGAGAAAAACAGTCCGTATAATTGGAGATAAGATTTGGTCCCATTTTTTTGTTTTTGTTCTTGCTTTTTTTTATTTAATAATATTTTTTTGTCTTTGGTTAATTTCCAATTATATCCTTCGATTATTTTTTTAATGGAAGGGTATTAATGTAATTTTATTTAAAGTTTAAAAAGTATTTTTACTCTATAAAATATCTTTTAATTTTATAATTTTGTTTAATAGAATTAATATGATTAAAATTTTTAAGCAAACCTAAGATAGCTTAATAATAACACGTGGTAGTGTCGATATTTTAATAAAAAATATATATTAATTTATATAAATAATTTGAAAATATCCATAATGATAGGTTATAATATTAATGGAGAGGAAGGACAATAATGGGACAGATATTTTGTGACATCGACTTATCACATCATTAGCTTGTACTTAACTATACCTTCTTTTTATGAGTATCATTGTTGATCACCCGACTCTGATATTTTGAGGTTCACGTCGATCTGATAAAATTTTGTATTTCATTTATCTTTTCAATATTATACAGTGTCGGTATTGAAAATTGTATGTATAAATGACTGTCCTTTTTGTTGGACGATGAAAGTCCCACATTGGCTAATTTAGGGAATGATCATGAGTTTATAAGTGAGCAATACTAATTTCATTGGTATGAGGCCTTTTGGGAAGCCCAAAAGGAAACCATGAGAGCTTAGTGGACAATATCATACCATTGTGGAGAGTTGTGTTCGTCTAACACTTTTTACTTTCCTTTGTTCATCGCCTTGATATGATCAATTACAATCGACCTAATAATTATCTGACTAACAAAACGTTGTTTATATCTTAATCGGTACATGTTCGAGTTAAACAATTCTCGAGAAACCGTTTTCTAGATTACTTCATAGAGATATATACATGTTTGGGTTGAGCCATGTGCCACGACCGACCAAGCTTGATATTCAAGATTCAGATCAAGATTTGAAATCTGGGTTCACTCCAATGTTCCTTTGCGACATAATCGAAAACTATCTCCATAGATCAACACGTATCATTTGAGCATGCTTTTTTTCTTACTCATATTCTCCATTGTCGGGTTCTTTCTGGAATGTGAAGTCGTTTTAGATCGTACCCCAGCAGCCCCACTCCTAACCTTCACTAAGTTGACGGGCGGCATATGAATAACAATGGTTGAAATCTGAGTCCATTTAACATAGGATTACTTTAAGCTGACACATTTAATTTTGAGATATATCACAGAAATTCATCGTTTATTTACATAACTAATCCTTTTTTTTCCATATATTTAAGATATTCTATATAATAATAGAGACCATAATAATAATAATGAGGATTAAAGCTACAAAATTTACTTCTTTTTATGAACATAATTAAAAAAAAAAGATCAATAATTAGAAAAACGACAAATTAAATAATGAAAAAATTGCTTTTGCTTGTCCATTTCATCTTGCTCTTGCCACTTAGTGGTCCTTTCATCATCAAATTATTGTATTATTTTAAACCTATTTAAAAAAAAAAAAGAGTTATTTAGACTAAACTCGAGCCATTGAGTTAAGAGAATGAAGTCCAAATAAAAAAAACCGAGCTGGTAGCATACATATGCTATTGTAGTTAGCCTCGAAGGTCTTGAACCCATTAGGTAGTGTAAGCAACCAAACAACAATAAAGGTCGGTAGCTCGTGTAAAACGAGCAAGAATATGGTTGATACAATTTGTGGTTTATTGATCTACGTAGGTATGATTTCTAGTGGATGATGAAAGTTCCACATCGGTTAATTTAGAGAATGATCATGAGTTTATAATAAAAAACTATTATCTCTCACGGGAGAAATCTAAAGTAAAGTTACGAGAGCTCATGCATACTATTGTGAAGAGTCGTGTTTATAACGAAGAGAGTAAGAATTAATGATTTAAAATAATAAAAAAAATTAGGTTGGAGAGAGCGAAAAAGGAAAAACAAGGCTCCAACCATCGGTCTCTGCATGTGCGCCTTGCTTCCATTATAGAGATTGGAGAGAAGTAGGTTATCTTTTGCTTTATCCCACTCGCACATTGGCGCGTGCTCAAACAAACCCTCGTAGTGAGCGTGCCTCAGCCAATGGTACTTGGTTTGTACCATCATGAGTTCGGTCGTTGACCGTCTCATCGGATCTGAGTCCATATCTGTTTTTTTTTTTTTTTTTTTTTTTTTTTTTTTTTTTTTTTTTTTTTTTTTTTTTTTTTTTTTTTTTTTTTTTTTTTTTTAATTAATTAATTAATTAATTAACTACGGTTTGTTCCTATGATTGAACAGGTTAGACGAACATGTCCACTTTGAACATAAACTAAAATCGTTCTAGTTTTTCTTAATCGTCCTATTATTAAAATCGTTATAGTTTGTATATGGTTTTAGTTCATTTATGTATCTCTTTACTCGAATGGTCAGAATAAAATTTGATTTAATTTTGAATTTTTAACGGGAAACCACGTGCATATAGTAATTGTTTGGGTAATTAAAAAAATTAAATAATTTTTAAATAAATAAAACAATATCCCTTTTCTCACAATAATATAAAGAGATGAGGTTTGGGCGTTGGCCATTTTAAAATCACTCGAGAAAATGCCGACCAAGCTTGGAAGAAACTATTTGAATCTCTGTTTTACAAAGATCAAGAACCCACTTGCGGCTCACTCTTCTCCGATCACCCACGCGCCGGATCCCCACCGTCCCACCTGCCCGTTACCCTCCTCCTCCTCCTCCTCCGCCGCCGCCGCCACTTTTATCACAAATTACAACTCCCTCTATGAGATCGCCACTCTCGATTCCAATCCGTTTTTCGTCCCCACCAACGACGGTGGCGATTCCGACACCCATGTCGCCGTTGACTTCATCACTGCATTCACCTCCCACCGCTTCTTCTTCTCCTCCCCTGGCCGATCCAATTCAATTATAGAATCCTCCACCACCACCGCCACCGCGACCACCACCGCCACCAAATCCACAAATTCATTATCTTCCGACGACTTGCTCTTGAACAACAGCTTTGCGATACCCACTTACTCGCCGGACCCGTACATAGACTTCCGGCGGTCAATGGAGGAGATGGTGGAGGCGCGTGAGGAAATGGAGGTGGTGAAATCGAGTTGGGAATTCTTGCATGAGCTTCTTTTATGTTACCTCGCACTCAATCCTAAGACCACCCACAAACATATTCTTAAAGCTTTTGCCGACCTGGCCAAGGTGACAAAACCGCCATTGCCGCCGCCAGAAGCGGCCGAGGAAGGCGGCAGCAGAGGCCGGGAAGCTGAGTCAGCTGAGATTTCCGACCAACAAAATGATGGAGATTGATGAATTATTCATTTATAAATTAGTCCCTCAAGACTTTGGTTTTTGTAACCTTAATTATCAGATCAAATCCTTATCTTTGGTTCTATTCATCTTTTTTTTTATTTACTTTTATTGTTCTTCACCTATTAGTATTACCTAAATTGTACAAATCTATTGGTAATTTAACATCTTACTTCATAATTACCATATGTTTGGTTTTACGATAGAATGAAGTTGGGAGAGCGACAAAAGAGAGTGGTACACGATGGTTTATTCAAGTTATTAGATATCCAAATCCTCTAAAAAAAGGATAGTACAAAATATCATTTTACTCTGTCACATACCCAGAATTTCTATTTTTCTTGTATCAGTTCCTTCTTGTCATATCTACCAATATATGTGTACCCATTAAGACCTGTCACGTCTTCATGATAGTTAAGAGAGAGTTCCTCGAGTCGAGAAAGAACCAACTTGAAAATCAATTGACGTTTAAAA